ATGCCTGGTACTCAATGAAGCCTCAGGCTCTGCCCCAGGATTTCTATCCATGCAGTCTCAGATAGGAGCTTCCTGAAGCAGACCAACCGTGGAAGGAGGAGGCACAGGGATGGAGCCCACTGGACTTGGAGCCATCAAACTGAAGGGCTGCAGGCACAGACTGGTTGTTGACTGTTATATGACCTTGGAAGCCCAATGCACAGAGTTCCTAATTAGCCAAATTGGTCCAGGTTACCACAAACTCTAAAAGTCTCCTCATATCAATGCCAGCTGAGGAAGAGAAAAATCAGTGTCCACAAAAGCTCTTGGGCTCTTCCTCTACACCAGAGGAAGCTCCTGGGTTTATCATTTCTTTCATTAATTTTTTCCTTTGCCTTGTTCCATTTTTATGATGGTGAAATTTCACTCCCTCTAAAAATGGCAATTTTCCCCATTGCCAAGGGCACAGATCAGCAGCATTAATCACACTCACACTGTGGTGCATCCATCACCAGTATCCACAGCCAAATTGAAAATTTCTACACAACATAAAAAACTTGCCAGTCCTCCCAGCCACAAAATTGGCACCCAATATTCTCCCATCAAGAAGGATGACAAGTTGAAGCCACAACAATAAGGTGAGCAAGAGGCAGGCTAGATTTTCAGGTTTGTTTTTGTAGTTCTATTGCCTTTTCCACCCTACATTTAAACTGATTGCTAAGGTCTTGACAGTTCTGCTGTGGAGTCTCCTTAGGACACTTTTTAGGTCTCTATTCCTCAGGTTGTAGTTGAAGGGATTCAGGGTAAGGATGAACAAGGTGTAAACGACAAAGGTCACCAAACACTTTCGGGGATATTGACATAACTGAACCAAGGCACATTCCAATGATGATACCACATTATAAGCCAACAACTGACAGAAGAGAACCAGAGTTACAGAAGCATTTATACATCCCACATGGTGATGGGATTCTCAGAATGGAGGAGACCATATTTTAGAAAGATAAAAGAATCCCTGATAGGAAAAACACAAATATGCCACTATACTTAACAATGATATTAGAGAAGGTATCAGGACAGGTGACATTAAAGAGTTGAGAAGGATCACTGAAGAATTGTAAATTTCTACATCCATAGAGTAAAAATACTATGAAACAATCAAATTATGCACCTAAGTGTCCCAAGGCTAACCAAAAGACACCAAACTAAGAAACCCGGAGTCAAGGGTTCTTGATGATGGGGTAATGCAGGGAGAAATTCATGGCCACAACATGTCCTAGGCAATGACAGCAACATACCATCTCTACTTCAAAAAACAAGAAAAAAAAAAGAGCCATCTGTGTAATGCAGTCCACTTGGGAAATGATTCTATTGTGATTTGGGATGTTCACAATCATTCTTGGGTGATTTCACCTCATCAGGGGTGAAATAGAGTCAGCCAATAATGGTTGGAGAGAAGAAGTATATGGGGGTGTGGAAGTGGAGGTCAGAGCTGACAGCCAGAATGATGAGCATGTTTCCAAGAACAGTGGCCAGGTACATGCACAGGAACAGTCCAAAGAGGAATGATTAAACTGGACCACAGGAGGTACCCAGGAATAAGCATTTCATGACATATATAAGGTTTTCTAATATATTGTTTGGAAACATTCTGGGAAAATAAAAAGTGTTGGATAAAAGAAAAAATAAGCAAGGGAGGAAGATTACCTCTAGATAGTGAATAGGGGTGGGAGGGAAAGGGAGGGAGAAGGGGAATTCTATGCATAGTGAAAGGAGACCCTCATCATTATACAAAATATATGTATGAAGATGTGAATTTGGTGTCAACATACCTTATATATAATCAGAGATATGATAAATTATGGTACAATAGTGTATTAATATTTGTAATGAATAAATAAATAAATAAAAGAACAATAAAGAAACACCCACCACTCAGTATATATTTTGAATTCAGGTATTCAAAGTAAGATACTCACTCTTGAGGTACACACACCTTCTGCAATACTTCTCAGTTGTGACAAAACTATTTTTACAACACTTAGGTTATGTATTCTGTGCATTGTCTATGGACACCTACTTTAGTGACATTCAGTTCAGCATGTTATCATAAAAAGCCAAGACTATTAGAGATAAATTTATGGTAACTAAAATAAATACGACTCTTTGAAGAAAAATAGAGAGAATAATAAATATACTTCCCCTTTTAATAAAAATCACTTTTAGAACTCAGATGTAGCTCAATGGTAAAATGTTTGCCTCTCATGCACAAGGCCCTTGATTTTTGTCCTCAGTACCACCAAAAACGAAAAAGAAAGAAAAGTCACTTATTAAGGAAAATTAAGAAACAATTCAATATTATTGCTAACTTTATTCTATTAAAATGGCACTAACCATCTGTGTTTAGAATGCTTGTGAACTTAATCCTAGTGGCTCAGTTAACTGAGGTAGGAGAATCATGAGTTCAAAGCCAGTCTCAGCAACTTAGAAGGCACTGAGCAACTCAGCAAGACCCTATCTCTAGATAAAATATTAGAAAAATGGCTTGGGATGTGGCTCAGTAGTTAAGCACCCCGGGGTTTAATCTCCAGCACAAAGAAGAGGAAAAAAACAAAGAATGCTTGTGAACACTCTGTAAGAACTAGAACTACCTTATCCAGACCTTAATTTATGATCAATAGTTAATGACTAGAAAATATTTTGGGCCAGTTATTCTAGCAGTTTTTCAACATTTTTGGGTCTTCTCATTTCCCCTTCTTTCTACATGAAGCACTCAGTCAAATAATATTTATGTTTTAAAAATCTTTTAACATATGACTCATTTTCCATGGAAAACTAAAAATTTTAATATAGTTTAGTTAAATCTACATAATCATACATCACTGACCACAAATGTAGTATTAGCATACACTATACCTCTCAATAATTAAAACATAATGAAGTTTGAAGTAACATTTTTGAAATTCTTATTTAACATGGTTTTTCCATATTTTTATTGGTGCATTGTGGTTGTACATAATGGTGGGATTTGTTATTACATATTCATATATGCACACAATATAACAACATAATTTGACCAACATCACTCCTCAGCATTTTCACTTTCCCTCCCCCCACTCCCCCGGTCCCTTTCCTCCACTCTAATGATCTCCCTTTGATCTTCATGAAACCCCTACCCCACATTTCTTTTCCTTTTTTCTCTTTAGTTTTCACATATGAGAGAAAACATGTGACCCTTGACCTTCTGAATTTGGCTTGTTTTACTTAACTAA